GTTGTGGAGAAGTTGAAAGCATGGTAAGCTTATAAAAAATATCCCAAGCTTTAAACATTTCATGGAGCACTATTCAATCCATCATCTGAAAATGAAAAGAGTTTGACACAACTGCAAACCTACCAAGACATGGCCGTCCACCTAAACTGACAGGCCGGGCAATGAATAAGGGCTGTCTTTAGTGTGAAACGCGTTTACCTGCCAGTCCCCCTCTGTATTTCCACTGTCTGTATTGGTTTTATCTTGGTTCAATAAAGTGGATTGTTTGGAGCGCAGCTGATCAGACATCCTTTGTTCTCATCTAGGAAGCACATGAGCTGGGCTAGCACCTACAGGAGAAGTTGTGCTGGGAGATTAGGAGTCTCTCTATCTTGAGCAGCGGTAAACATATAGGACAGGCCGGGCAAAGAGAGCATTAATCAGAGAAGCAGCCAAGAGGTCCATGGTAACTATGGAGGAGCTGCAGAGATCCACAGCTCAGGTGGGAGAATCTGTCCACAGGACAACTATTAGTTGTGCACTCTGGCCTTTATGGTAGTGTGGCAAGAAGAAAGCCATTGTTGAAAGAAAGCCATAAGAAGTCCCATTTGCAGTTTGCGAGAAGCCGTGTGGGGGACACAGCAAACATGTGGAAGAAGGTGTTCTGGTCAGATGAGACCAAAATTTAACTTTTTGGCCTAAAAGCAAAATGCTATGTGTAATGAAAAACTAACACTGCAAATCACATTGAACACACCATCCCCACAGTGAAACATGGTGGTGGCAGCATCATGTTGTGGGGATGCTTTTTTCTCAGCAGAGACAGAGAAGCTGGTCAGAGTTGTTGGAAAGATGGATGGAGCCAAATACAGGGCAATCTTAGAAGAAAACCCATTAGAGTCTGCAACAGACTTGAGACTGGGGCAGAGGTTCACCTTCCAGCAGGACAATGACCCTAAACATACAGCCAGAGCTACAATGAAATGGCTTAGATCAAAGCATATTCATGTGTTAGAATGGCCCAGTCAAAGTTCACACCTAAATCCAATTGAGAATCTGTGGCAAGACTTCAAAATTGCTGTTCACAGACGCTCTCCATCCAAACCTGACAGAGCTTGAGCTATTTTGCAAAGAAGAATGGCCAAACATTTCACTCTCTAGATGTGCAAAGCTGGTAGAGACTTGCAGCTGTAAGTGCAGCAAAAGGTGGTTCTATAAAGTATTGATTCAGAGGGGCTGAATACAAATGAAGCCACACTTTTAACATGTTTATTTGTAAAAATATTTGAAAACCATTTATCATTTTCCTTCCACTTCACAATTATATGTCGTTTTTTGTTGGTCTATCACATGAAATCCCAATAAACTACATTTACATTTTTGGTTGTAACATGACAAAATATGGAAAATGCCAAGGGGTATGAATACTTTTTCAAGGCACTGTAAGTATCATAAATGGGTCACCAGTTATCCCCCAATTCTGCCAAATGGAGTGATTCATTGCACATAGACATCAATCTAGAAGAGAGCTGGAAAATTTAAAGGGGTATGAATACTTTTTCAAGGTACTGTGTCTAGCAGACTACAGTTGCAAGAAAAAGTATGTGAACCCCTTGGGATTACGTGGAGTTTTGCATGAATTGGGCATAAAACGTGCTCTGAACGTCATCTAAGTCACAACAATTGAAGAACACAGTCTGCTGAACATAATACTACACAAACATTAGATGTTGCCATGGTTTTATTGCACATAACATGTAAACATTCACAGTGCAAGGAGGAAAAAGTATGTGAACCTTTGGACTTAATAACTGGTTGATCCTCCTTTGGCAGCAATAACCTCAACCAAACGTTTCCTGTAGTTGCAGATCAGACCTGCACAACGATCTGGAGTAATTTTGGACCACTCCTCTTCATAAAACTGTTTCAGTGTAGCAATATTCTTGGGATGTCTGGTGTGAATCGCTCTCCTAAGGTCATGCCACAGCATTTCAATCGGGTTGAGGTCAGGACTCTGACTGGGCCACTCCAGAAGGCGTATTCTGTGCTGTTGCAGCCATTGTTTTGTTGAATTACTTGTATGCTTTGGGTCATTGTCATGTTGCATCACCCATCCTCTGCGGAGCTTCAGTTGGCGTACGTTTTCCTGCAAAATATCTTGATAAACTCTGGAATTCATTTTCCCATCAATGACAACAATCCGTCCAGGCCCTGAGGCAGCAAAGCAGCCCCAAACTATGATGCTCCCTCCGCCATGTTTTACAGTGGGGATGAGGTTTTGATGTTGGTGTGCTGTGCCTTTTTTTCTCCACACATAGTGTTGTGTGTTCTTCCCAAACAACTCAATCTTGGTTTCATCTGTCCACAGTATATTTTGCCAGTAGTGCTGTGGAACATCCAGGTGCTCTTTTGCAAACTTCAAAGGTGCTGCAATATTTTTTTTGGACAGCAATGGCTTCCTCCGTGGTGTCCTCCCATGTACTCCATTCTTGTTTAATGTTTTCCTTATTGTAGATGTGTCAACAAAAATGTTAGCATGTGCCAGAGATTTCTGTAGGTCTTTAGCTGACACTCTGGGATTCTTCTTTACCTCATGCAGCATTCTGCGCTGTGCTCTTGCAGTCATTTTTACAGGATGACCATGCCTAGGGAGAGTAGCAACAGTGCTAAACTTTCTCCATTTGTAGACAGTCTGACTTACCGTGGACACATGAACATCAAGGCTTTTGGAGATACTTTTGTAACCCTTTCCAGCTTCATGCAAGTCAACAATTCTTGATCGTAGGTCTTCTGAAAGCTCTTTTCTGCGAGGCATGGTTCACATCAGACAGTGCTTCTTGAAACCAGTAAACCCAAAACATGTGTGTGTTTTTTAAGGGCAGGACAGCTGTCAGCAACACATCCATATATCATCACACTGATTGGAGTCAAGGTTGGCTCACTCCTGGCTCCAATTAGCTCTGGGAGAAGTCATGAAGCTAGGGCCTCACATACTTTTTCCTCCCTGCACTGTGAATGTTTACATGTAATGTGCAATTAAACCATGGCAACATCTAATGTTTGTGTAGTATTATGTTCAACAGACTGTGTTCTTCTATTGTTGAGACTTAGATGACGTTCAGAGCACATTTTATGCCCAATTCATGCAAAACTCCACGTAATCCCAAGGGGTTCACATACTTTTTCTTGCAACTGTAGATGCCAGTTATGTGTGCTGCATGAAAATGTCCTGACAAGAAGAGGAAAGAAGAGAACAGAGGGATGTCCACATCAGCCTCCTGTTGCTTTTTCACTGTTCAGTCAGCAAGCAGGAGAGAGGACACCAATGTATCTCTTCTACAGTCTATAACAGCTTTTCTCAACCTTATTATCCTAGAAGAACCCTTATAATAATGTTCAGGTTTCAGGGAACATATATTAGGATTAGTCAATCAGGGGTCATTAGGAAAATGTCCCTTACATTGGTGGTAAGTGGGAAGAATGTCTCCATTACAGTGCTTGTTAGAATGCTACCCTTAGAGTCAGCTAAAAAGATCATTGTTGGCATGCTACTGACTGAGATGATTGACCTGGAATTATGCAGGCATCATAAGATGGGAGGTCAAGTAGCCACATGACCAACAAAAGATTTTACCCCCTTCATGACCAGGACATTTTTTGCTATTCAGCACAGCACTACTTTAATTGACAATTATTCAGTGATAAATTAAATTTATATAATTTTTTTCACGCAAATGGAGCTTTCTTTTGGTTGTATTTGATCAACACTGAGTTTTAAATTTTTATTATATAAACCAAACATTTTGAAAAAAAAAAAAAACCAATATTTTCTGCTTTTTGTTGCAAAACATATCCAATAAAAAATTTTAAAACTCAAATGTCTTCATAAATTTTGGCCAAAATGTATTTTGCTACATGCCTTTGGTAAAAAAAAGAATCCCATTAAGTGTATATTGATTGGTTTGTTGGTTTGTGTGAAAGTTATAGCGACCTCAAATGATGGTATACATACTGACGTTTTATTTATTTATTTTACTCTAGTAATAGCGGTGATCGGTAACTTATAGTGGGACTGTGATAGTGCAGCAGGCAATCTGACACTAACTAATGCTGGCTAGGAGGTACACTAACTGACACTGACATCACCAGTGACACTAGTACAGTGATCAGTGCTAATGCTATACACTGTCACTGTAATAATGACACTGGCTGGGAGGGGGTAACATCTCTGAGTAATCAAGGGGTTAAGTGTGTGCCTAACATGTATTATTATGTGTATTATGTGCTGTTTTATACTAAATATTTGTTTGTTCCTTCTCTCTGCTTTGTAGGGAGAAGAAACAAACAGACTATTCCCCTCTGTATACAGCCATGTGTGTTTTCCAACACAGGGCTTTAGACTGATTGGATTCAGCCAATCAACAGGTCTCAGCTATAAATCATTGGCTGAAACCTGTTGACAAAATCTCACTGTGTCTGCTGTGTTCGGACACAGCGGGAGTCGGTTGAGGGGGTGCTCGCACACCCTGAACCCAGAAAACACTGCCGACTTACAGGTACGTGATTGTGCCTGTATGAGCCGCCCGCCTGAAGTAAATGCGGGGAGGCGGTTATTAGTGGTTAATCACTGCTCAAGAAACCCCCCGTAACCTCTGGAGGAACCCTGGTTGAGATTGGCTGGTTTCTAACATTAACAGAGAATCAGATGGTCCCACTGTAATATTTGCCATGGCTGAGTAAACCTCAGAAAAAGAAAGACTAATACAAATAGCTTGTTGGGAAAAACAGCTTCCACATACAGTATGTATTTCATCTGAGCATGCATCTTTTTGCCAGAAGTTAAACTTTAATATATCTAGGCTTGTCAGTTGTAATATTTGAAGGGGCCTTCTACCAAATAAGGAAAGGCTGAATCACAATAACAGCCAGTGAATTGTAAGAGCAGCACTGTGGCTTACTTTACCATGATTTTGATTGCGGAATTATTTTTCTATCATGAAGTTTCCCGCGAAGCTGCCTCGATGTGTCAGACTCTCACCTCCTTCCAGACAATCCCTTTGGACATGGCTCCAGAGCTCACCCGAGCTGTCACTAATGTGGTGTGCTCCTTGTGCTTCAACACCAGATACAAGAGAGGAGATGCAGAGTTTGAGACCATGCTGGCATACAGTAAAGGCATAGTGGATACAGTGGCTAAAGACAGCTTGGTGGACGTCTTTCCCTGGCTTCAGGTATGTACATTTACTATGCATTACCTGTGTTTTATCCATATAAAAATGCTCACTATTCTGCTGCTCTGTTCAGCAGTCAAGAACAAAAAGAAATACCCTGTACTTCTGGGTATGGACTAGCATGTGACTCACTCATTGTAACATCTCTGGGCCAGTCACCAAGCACTAGTGTTGTCACATGGGAAGAGTCCATATCCTTGTATAAGCTTCTCCTTCTTCCAAACTGAGCGGGGGGGGGGTGAAGTAAAGTAGAGTATGCTGGTGGACATGTGGAAAATAAATGTATGGGCAAGCACAGGTTCACTTTATATTAGAACAACGGTCCACCAAAAAAATGCGCTGCAGTTCCAAATTACAATAGAAACAAATTTAAACAGCTAAATTAAATTTGGCCGAAATTCGAATTGATCCGAATTTGAAAACAAATTCAAAAAACAATTTGAATTTGAAAACAAGAATAGAATAAATTAGAACTGACAATAAAGAAATAGAAAAGAACAGAATAGAAAATAAAAGAATAGAACAGAATACAGTAGAAAATAATAGAGTAAAACAGAACAAAATAGAATAGAAAATAAAGGCACAGAAAAGAAGAGAATCCATTAAAATAGAATAGAAAAGATTAGAATAGAAAATAAAAGAATAGAATAGAAAAGATTAGAATAGAAAATCAAAGAATAGAATAGAAAATAATAGAATCAATTAGAATAGAATAGAAAATATTAGAATAGAAAATCAAAGAATAGAATAGAAAATAATAGAGTAAAACAGAGCAAAATAGAACAGAAAATAAAAAGGAATAGAATAGAATCAATTAGAATAGAATATAATAGAGAATCAAAGCAAACAATAGAAAATATTAGAATAGAGAACCAAAGAATAGAATAGAATAGAATACTATAGAAAAACAATAGAATAGAATAAAATAGAAAGAATATAACTGCCTTCCAAAATTTTAATTTTAATAGAATGAATTTGAATTCGAACAGAATACATTAGAATAGAATATAAAAATAATAGAATAGTTTAGAAAAGACTAAAATACTTAAAAATTGTGAGCTGCTCTATGGTGACCTGAGTAGTGATCAACAAAGGAACTGTGAAAAGTTTTTTGAACTAGAAATTTCCAATATGGTCACGCAACTCTTCATATAGCCCATATACCATCAAAAACACTTATAGTTTAGAATTATCAAATCCGTTTTTTTAATAGAATTGTTTTTAAATCTGTTGGAATTATTCTCAGATCCATTGGATTTGTTTTCAAATCCATTAGAATTATTGTTGAATCTGTTAAAATTATTTTCAAATCCGTTCTAAATTCTGAATTCGAATAAATGAAACGAATTCCAAAAACCAAATTAAACGAATGTAACGAATCGAACTAAACAAAATGATTTTTTTTTTTTTTCATCTTGCACATGTCTAGTTCAAATCTTTTTAGTTCTATTCAGAACTAAAAATATCATTAGGAATCATTATCATTAGGAAATATTGCCCCACCAAATTATACAACATATATGCTTCCACTTGCAACAGTTTTTGTTGGCAGCATGTAGGCAGGAAATTAAATATCCATCACTGATCTGCAAGAATGCCAAATCTGCATTCCACCATTTCCCATTCACAGCTAGGCAATAGTTGAGGACACGTTTAGCCTTTCTAGCCTCTTTGTGACCACTGTTCCACAACCAAAGTCCTCATTGCCTACAAAGACATAATATAAATGGATGCTTTGTCTACTGAGATCACATACAGATAGAATGATGCATTATTGTACATTTGCATTAGGTTTCCCAATAATTTTTTTTTTTCTGGCAGATATTTCCAAACAAGGATCTAGACATTCTGAGGCAGTCAGTGGCAGCTCGAGATCACCTTCTCCAAAAGAAATTAAAGGAACATAAGGTAGGTTTAATAAGGATGGATTCCTAACAAAAAGTGTGAATCTGTGCTGTCAAATACTATTAGTAATTTATAATATACTGTATATGACACAATTTATTTTGGCAGTGTAAGTTTAAATTATATTGTTTTTTTGTTCCTTGAATACAAGCATTTTCTGATGGTAAGAAGTGGAGAGAAGGGGTAGATGATGTCACGATCAATACCTCATCCAATCAGAGAATGCTGTATGAAGGTGCTCTACGAATGGTGGCAATGGCAATCATGTCATTGTTACATCAAAGGATGCCAGGCAGGAAGGTGCCAACAGAATAGGATGTATACAAAAAATTACCAGCGCCAAAAATTGTGAAATAAATCCCAAATAAATGCTGCTGCTCCTTACTGTAAACACTAATAAAATAACAAAAAACATCAAAACAGCGCAAATAAATACTCAAAAGAATAAATGCTAAATAATAAAAATCATACAAAAAACTTATATATAATATTAATTGGATAGTCCCACTCCAAAAAAAATATTTTTGAGATGAATATGATGAGTAGAGTGAAATTGAAAGTCCTGATTCCAAGACCCTTGACCCGTATTCACACCCATTTGTGCTAAGATCACACACCGCACTCACCAGATAATTGTGAAAAAAATGCCTTAATTATGGTTTCTGGAATCCTAGACCCATTCAACTCAGCCTCCAATCACCAGGTTTAGGTGGAAATCCCCCAATGCAGGTATAAATGTATGCCTCAGAACTCCAAACCAGAGTTAAAACCAGCCTCCATCCTCCAGGACCACCAGAGATCACTCGCCATAGGAAGATGATTGGTGCAGAGAAAAAAATGTATGTAGTGTAATACTGCAAGACTCAAACAGGATGAATGCAAATACCAAACCACTCACATTTTAAAAGAATATAATCAGCATTTATTGTTTATCTTGAGCCAGAACGCCACATCACCAGGGTAAAGATCTCCCAGTCAGCAATAGATGACAGCATGTAAGAATCCACCCTCTAGCACAGCGGTTTTCAACCTGTGGGTCGCGACCCCTTTGGGGGTCGAACGACACTTTCCCAGGGGTCGCCTAAGACCATCGGAAAACACATATTTCCGATGGCCTTAGGAACCGAGACACCGCTCCTCTATCCGTCTCCAGGTGTGGGCGGGATGACATGCCGTCCCTGTCATCTGGACACACCCCCGGGATCAATCCTCGCCGGTGATTGGCCGCCAGAACTGTAGCTCAGTAGAGGCACACAGGCGGCCAATCACCGGCGAGGAGGTGGAGCTTGGAGAGGAGGAGCCGAGCGGCACCGCGAAGATCAAGCGAGTGAAGAAGAGGAGAGCGGCCGGAGAAGGAAGACATCTGACCGGTAAGTGTCTGTACCATGGGAGAGGGAGGGAGCAAGCGAGCCCAGGCTGGAGTAGGGGTCAGCAAGGTAAGTATCATTGGTGTCAGTGGGAGGAATAGTGCCCAATCATTGGTGTCACTAATACCAATGATGGGGCACTATTCCTCCCCCCACTGACACCAACGATGGGGCACTATTCCTCCCCCCACTGACATCAACGATGGGCACTATTCCTCCCCCCACTGACACCAACGATGGGGCACTATTCCTCCCCCCCACTGACACCAACGATGGGGCACTGTTCCTCCCCCCACCGACACCAACGATGGGGCACTGTTCCGACCCCCACTGACACCAACGATGGGGCACTATTCCACCCACTGACACCAACGATGGGGCACTATTCCTCCCACTGATACCAACGATGGGGCACTATTCCTCCCACTGACACCAACGTTGGAGCACTATTGCTCCCCCTGACACCAATGATGGGGCACTATTCCTTCCACTGACACCAATGATGGGGCACTATTCCTCCCACTGACACCAATGATGGGGCACTATTCCCCCCACTGACACCTATGGTGGGACACTATTCCTCCCACTGACACCAATGATGGGGCACTATTCCTACCACTGACACCAATGATGGGGCACTATTCCTACCACTGACACCAATGATGGGGCACTATTCCTACCACTGATACCAATGATGGGGCACTATTCCTCCCACTGACACCAATGACGTGGTACTACTCCTCCCACTGACATCAGTGATGGGGCACTATTCCTCCCACTGACACCAATGATGAGGCACTATTCCTCCCACTGACACCAATGACGTGGCACTATTCCTCCCACTGACACCAATGACGTGGCACTATTCCTCCCACTGACACCAGTGACGTGGCACTACTCCTCCCACTGCAAAATTACAGTTATGAAGTAGCAACGAAAATAATTTTATGGTTGGGGGTCACCACAACATGAGGAACTGTATTAAGGGGTCGCAGCATTAGAAAGGTTGAGAACCACTGCTCTAGCAAGATGGCCCCTTAGAGCACCGCACGCTGGCATGCGCTCCACTCATTAGAAGTGACGTGGTATTTTGGATGGCAAAGCCAGAAATGCTTCAATGCGGTTTGCCCCTCCTCCAGGGCGTTTTCACAGTTCATCTGGAACTGGCCGAAATGTGCTCTGTGTATGACCAGCTTTAGTATAAGAAGACACTTGGAGCTTTGTTATCTGTGTTAAACTCAATGGTGTTATTACCATCATACACATTATATTCTTTCTGTAAACCATATAATACAGTAGATTATAAAAAGCACAGGCAACCAAACAAAAACAACAATGAAGTTTGTGTTTTTTTCAGTCCTTTATGTAACCTCTTGGATTTACTTTGTAGGATGTATTTTGTGGTGAATCTGTCAAAGACTTGTTGGATGCTCTTCTGAAAGCCAAACTTAACATGGAAAACAACAACAGCAACATATCACAAGATGTGGGGTTGACGGAGGATCACATCCTCATGACTGTAGGGGATATCTTCGGAGCAGGAGTGGAGACCACATCTACAGTTTTGAAATGGGCTGTTGCCTATTTACTGCACTATCCAGAGGTAAGTAGAATTGGTAGATTAATAGTATTGAAACAGAACACAGACATGAAAGACAGTAAAGTTAGAAAAAAAAAACCATTTTGTGCGCTAATTGAAAATCTTTCCGATGAGAAAACTGCTGGTCGGCTTATGAACATGCTAGTTGCCTGGCTCATTCCCTTTAATTCTTTCTGAGCCACTGTCCAAGAACAGGTATGCAAATCAAAGTAAAGGTAAGGGCCAGAATTGATGAGCTCATTTTTTACATCAGTTTGAGATGTTTCTGAGATCATTCAGAATTCATTGAGAGGTGTATTTGACCTGCTTCAGGCTGCTTTCATATTTCTATAGACTTGTATAGGGAGAGAAGGCCCTCAATTGGATGTATTCTTATCAGTATACATGTTCTGTGGTATTGACTGTCATGAAAAAAAGGTCTGCCATTACCAACGTCCTTTGGAGAATGCTATCTGCCTGTTTTTCTCTGGATACTTTCTGAGTTAATGACCCACAGGATGTATGTAGCTAGTGAAGTCAGGAATTTAGAAATCAGTTTTGAAACCATTGGATCATCATGAGAGCTAACTACTAACATTTTGAGTGGTCATCAGTGATATCTAGTATATTAGAGTGGTATCCAGTGTATTTCTCTTGGCTCATTTCCTTTGATTGTCATTCATCAAAAACTGTGATTGGCTTTGTGCTTGGACTGTACACTGTTACTTTGTTACACTGGGTAGGTGCTAAGATGTGAATATACTGTATGTATATCAGATTCCTGTTAGGTATTCTAGGTTAGGGTTATTCTAGGGGCTAGTAAAAGGATTAAAGTACATAACCAAAAGGGGAAAGCCTTTATATTTCAACTTCCTCCATGTTATTGAACACTTCTTTTTCTTGAAGCTGGATTATCAGTGTCAATGTCTACTCATTTACGTTATCATCCTGTTAAATTTACAAGTAAACCAAGATGAACAAATTTAAGACTAGTAGCTACAATTGTGGATATTCATTCAAGCATCATTAAGATGTTAACCTAGGCTCACACTTATGTGGGTCATGCAGCCCAAGTTTGCTCTGGCACAGGAGCCCATTCATTTAAATGGATTGCTGTGCCCACATATCCCACAGGAAAAAGGTGCATGCAACTGCAGGGAAACTGCATGGTCTTTTTGACCATGCGATTTCCCTGCAGTTCCTGAACCTGCAAATGAGCTGTGGGCTGAGATGCATAGGGGTGCAATTCAGATTGAATATGCAGCCCCACACATCTCATAAGAGCAGTGTGATTTAGCTGCGGGTGGTTGTGGGTGCTGGAACAGGTGTGAATCCTGAACCCACAACCAGCCCGCAGACTGTGATCAAGTGTGAACCTAGCCTTATAGGTGTAATGTATAGTACACAGACATAGAAACAGGTGAGTTACTATAATGTATGTTTTGTGCAATGAAACAGGTCCAGAAGAAGATCCAGGAAGAGCTGGATGCAAAGGTCGGATTTGGACGATATCCACTCCTTAGTGACAGGAAAATCCTCCATTATACAGAAGCGGCCATCTCTGAAGTGCTGCGAATTCGTCCCGTTTCACCATTGCTTATTCCACATGTGGCTTTAAAAGATTCCAGGTGGGATTTCCTTCCAGTGGATTAGCTTGAGAAATTTCTATTTCACAGCCAAAAAGTTTCTTATATTTGTTTCACATTATCTGAGTAAAAATAACCGTTTGAGTTGCAGAATTAAATCCTCCTATCTTTTACAGAGGAGGAAGCTATCATCTTAGGGTCTGATTGCTCTGCAGTTGACAAGGTGCTGCACATGATCAGTCATTTGATGGCTTGACAGTTTTGTGGGAGCTAACATAAGCACGCTAGTAGCTGTAATGGTTATAATTTATGGCACGTCTTGAATGTAAGGGCTCGTTTACACCATATGCAGACACCTGCATTTTTCTGCACTAGAAAATGCAGTTCTCTGCAAGACACATAAAAAACAATTGTTTCCTATGTGTTTGGTTCACACCAAAACGCAGGGACACAGATAAGTGGGGCAGCAGGAAGAAGCAGATGGTGGACAACAGGAGGTGATCAATTCGGCAGGGTAATTACAAGAACCGATCACCTGTGTCTCACTGCAGCTGCAGAAAGCTTCTCCTCTTCTCTCTCCCAATGGCTTTCAGCAGCTCCATCGAAACAACCAGGAGATCAGTTCATTTAATTGCCCCCCTCTTCCCCCGCTACACCAATGAGCCCCTCCTATTCACCATCTGCTTCTGCATAACCAAACCTTTTATGTAGAGTAGGGAAGGGATAAGATACCTACTGGTTTATTTTTTGCTGTCTGTGTACCATTGGGGAATTTCCCTTCACTTCCTGTCCCAGAGACACTACAGGAGTCAGAAGAAAACTTCTAAAGTGTGAAATTTGTTGTCTCCAGTACATTACAAGATTTCACCTTACTCCTTGCACTGGGGACAGCTCTAAATTTCTGAATTTTCCCTCACTTGTTGACTGTGATGACTAGAACAAATAGAAGGGTGATTCTCCCCAAAGGCAATGCAGACAGCAAAAAACCTGATAGAGCAGTGGTTCTCAACCTGGGGGTCGCGACCCCTTTGGGGGTCGAACGACCCTTTCACAGGGGTCCCCTAAGACCATCAGAAAACACATATTTCCGATGTGTAAAGAGCAGCTACTGTGTAGAAAGCAGCTGCTGTGTTGAAAGCAGCTACTCTGTTAAAAGCAGCTACTGTGTTGAAAGCAGCAGTATTGGAGGTAAAACGACACTCATGAATTATAATTACTGGGTAAATAATTTTATGGTTGGGGGTCACCACAACATGAGGAACTGTATTAAAGGGTCACGGCCTTAGGAAGGTTGAGAACCACTGTGATAGAGGGTCTAATTCTTTCTCACTCCATCCACAATTAAAAAGAAATGTTTTGCTTAGAGATATACTGTATGCTTCATGTTGTTTGGAAAGTGCTGGCACCTACTGAACAGAGGGTGTGTTGGAGCTCTGCAGAGAGACTGCTGCTTCCACACAGATGGTGAAGGTCAGGCTGTGACTGCTTTCTAAGGAAAAACCTTTCATTTTGATGCACCTCTATTTACATGATTTAATTAGGCTTTGATTTAATCCCAAATTAAGAATCAACTTTAGATTAGCTACGTCTGTAAATAGTGGTTATGGCCCAGAAATACGTAGTGTACATATTTGCTGGAGCATCTGCTTTGCTGAGCAGCTTGCATAACAACCAGAATTTTTTGTTAGGTTTATTCTGCGCTAGAAAATTTAAAGAATGATCCCTCAACCTGCTTTAGACAACATTCTATATAAAAATTACCGGTTTCCTGCAGTCACTGGATGATGGTGGCTAATTTTTAGCACTGTGAGTTGCTGTTTCCCTGGGCTCAGTTCCTATCAAGGGGCACTATGTGTATGGAGTTTTAATATTCTCTCTGGGTTTGTGTAGGTTTCATTCCACAGTCCAAAACCATACTGGCTATATGGTACTATAACTCAGCAGCCTAGAGTGGCTCTGACCTATCAGCCAGATCAGCTGCTTAGATTGGTCCTGTCCAGTACAGGATTAGTAAATACATAAAGTAGGCACCAGCACATGGGCTCCACACTGTTTAACCACTTCCCGACCCCCACAGACCACATGGTCTTGTATCATGTGATTGCTGTGTCCAATTACAGCAAGCACATAGTAGTCAATACAAACTGAAAGTAAGCATCGGTTCACTCTGCTCTCACTGTGAGTGCAGGAGAACCGATGCTGCAGCCTGTGATAGTACAGCAGTCTGTAACTCTGCATGTACACTCACAGACTGCAGTGCCAGCCTGTTTCAGTGTCTCTGATCACTGCCCCAAGTGTAGTACAAATAAAGAGTGCAGCCAGTCCCTCTCACCTGTCCCTGTGTCACCAGTGCTCACAATAACACCACCATATACCATACCAATGTCCTGATCACAGACATACTCCATTCCAGTTTCCTTATCACAACCATACTCCATACCAGCATCTTGATCACTGCCATACCCCAAACCAGCATCCTGATCACCGTCATACCCCATACCAGTGCCTTTATCACCGCCATACCCAGTACCAGCGTCTCGATCACTGCTTTACCCCATACCACACCCTGATCACCACCATACCCCATACCAGCATCCTGATCACCACCATACTCCATACCAGCATCCTGATCATCGCTGGCCCTGGCCTATCAGACAGTGGTAGGGACATTAGATTGTAAGCTTCTTTGGGGGCAGACTAATATGTTTAGTTCAGCATTTTCAGAAAAGCTCTTTGAAACTTATAAAAAACTGCTCTTAAAAACAGGTAGGCCATTATGTGAACCTTATGTGATTTAATGCTTCCAGTATGTTCAACACTAATCATACATATATTTTGGATAGCATTGGAGAATACACCATTCCTAAAGAAGCCCGTGTGGTTATTAACCTCTGGTCTTTACACCACGATGAGAAGGAATGGATTAACCCTCACCTCTTCAATCCAGGTGTGTATCTTTTTACTTTGCCACGTTTTCCATAATTTACATATGCTTTCTATATTTTCAACAAATGTACTCAGAATGTGGTTTGTAAATAGGTAGTTACCATAAAAAAACAACAATGTATAACAGAAGAAACTAACATTTTCATTTAGGTCTGTCCATGAAAAACCAAGAGATTATTCATCTTTCATTTGTATATGGGCTGGAACACATCTGTGTGTTGCATTTTTGGTGCATTACCATTGACCTCTATAGACCGTGCATTATGACAAAGGCGCTTCAAAGATGCAGCAAGCAGGACATTTTTAATGCATCTCACCTAAAACACACAGGAGTGAATGGTGTCTTACATTATAAATATTACAAAAAGATAAGTGAAAGACTATAACAAAGAAGGCAAACTAGACACCCTTGTTAGAGTTCCAGAGATATGTAACAAGCTGGTGAATGATTCAGCCAACCAGTCAGACCTTTTCCTGCCACTACTGCCTATGTCAAAACGTAGGCATTCAATCTCAAACTTTCATTGCTCCAGTGTCATTTTCCAGTGCAGTTGGTTGCCATGATGAGCTTGAGGCAGCTATTTACTCAAATGATTTTATATATGAGGTCCAAAGTGAGAATTCTGCACAGCCATTGCTTAAAGCCGAAGTCTAGGAAGACATAAAAGACACGAATGAATGTAGCTTTGTAATCAACAATACATCATTCCTGCTGTGTGTGTGTTGCAGTGTTATTCATTGTGAAAGTTAACCCAGTGCACTGTGAAGTGAGCACACCAAAACATGAATAATGTGCGTTGTGGTGCACTGCATATTTTTTTCCCATATGCTGTGGTGCGTTGGCAGCCCATTCATAATGCTGTAGTGTGATTAGGCCTTCAATGTATTTTTTAATGCAAGCATTATAGTATGACCTGGTATCACCCTTTAGCAGTCTCTGTTAAGCAGGAGCGGGGGGGGGGGATTTTTTTTTTTTGGGGGGGGGTTTGGACAATGCAGGAAGACCTGGTCTCAGAGGAAGTGGGTTGAATGCTGCTGGCCATCATTCATTTATTCATACCTGGAGTTCTGCTTTAAAGTATAATTAATGGCAAAACGTTTTATAGTTTTGGACAGAGTAGAGATGGGTTAGAACATCTGTCATCTGTTTATTGTGGTCTCTGCCCCCATTAGGGAGATTCACCCGCTCTATAGGTCCTGTTTACCTTAATCATTGCAAGTGAAAGTAAAGAAAATCCCAATTTTTTGGATTGTCCCCAGAAAGTAATAGAGGGGAAATCTTCCAATGGGAGCACTTTGTTTTGGTGACCTGGGGGCCCCAAGGAATTCCCATAATTTGCAGGAATTTCCTCTCACTTCCTCAATACCAAAACCTTGTGAGCTGCTATGTGCAAAAAATTAAATTAAAATTTCAGCATCATTGAGCTGCATGCACTACTCATACTCTCATAACCAGTATGTGATATAACTGCAATTATTTCATACAGTACCACACTTCACTTCTCTTATTTACGGTCACTTTAGAGTACAATTAAAAAGTGTATATACAATTCTCCAAAACGCAAAAAACATAATAAACAAAAAAAATCCACTTTAAATCTTCTTTGTCCCTGAAAATTAGTGTCCACTTCACAATGAACTTCTAAACACCACCACCTCTATAGTGCCACATATATGATCCGCCATCAGGGGGAAATGATGAAGCCATGTGACCTGGTGGCGTAACCCGTAGGGGAGGGGCTTGCTGACGTCACGACACTCGGAACACAAGAGTGCATGGTAGCTGCACACCAGTGATATGTTTTAGATTGGAAAATCATTGGAAAATCACTGTAAGGAATAGTGTGGTGCGCTGAGGCACCTGTGAAATGATTGCCGAGTGGAGGAGGAGTAACGTAGGAGTACTCTACCACTTTTTATTTTCCAATAGTTTTTACTGAAAATTTTCAAAATACAAATAGAGTCAAAGACAAATGTCATGGCATAACAGGAGATAACGCTAATACATAGAAATATCTGTATTAACAAACGACAGACATATCTTATGAATTCAGAGGTGCAGCGCGAAGTGATCTTGATAGGTCCAGCTAAGAATACCTCGCAGAAAGTTCCCCAGAAGAATGAGAGTTAGTAATTATAGCTTCATGAATCGCAATGAACAAGTGCTAAGGAGAACATGACAAATGTTGCAGAACAATTACAGATAGGCTCAATCAGCCTCAGAAAATGTAGAGATAAAAAAAAGAGACAGTATAAAGTAAGAAAAGAAATAAGGAAGAGTAAGAGAGGGAGAGGGTCACCTTGGGAAGGATCAAGATACGGATATATATTGAATCCATGGGTCCCACGTTTTGTCAAATTTGGCAGTATTGTTGTGTAAAATGCAGGTGAGTCTATCATTGATCATGATCCAGTTCAATTTATTTTCAATTATTAGTTCAATTTATTCTAGTGGGATAATTGGACTCTACCAATGTTTTCCTAGTAATTCTTGCTGCTAGCAGCATATAGGTAACAGTTTAAGGGATTTTTTTTACTGTAGCTGGAAATTTATGGAAGAGAGCCATCTCCAGGGCCCTACGGACATTCCACTACAGCTTTTTAAAGGAAGAAGATTTGCATCCATCTATGAGGGATTACCATTAGGATTCCTCTGTGAGGCACACAAGTGCTACAGTCAGGTCCATAAATATTGGGACATTGACACAATTCTAACATTTTTGGCTCTATACACCACCACAATGGATTTGAAATGAAACGAACAAGATGTCCTTTAACTGCAGACTGTCAGCTTTAATTTGAGGGCATTTACATCCAAATCAGGTGAATGGTGTAGGAATTACAACAGTTTGCATATGTGCCTCCCACTTGTTAAGGGACCAAAAATAATGGGACAGAATAATAATCATAAATCAAACTTTCACTTTTTAATACTTGGTTGCAAATCCTTTGCAGTCAATTACAGCCTGAAGTCTGGAACGCATAGACATCACCAGACGCTGGGTTTCATCCCTGGTGATGCTCTCCCAGGCCTCTACTGCAACTGTCTTCAGTTCCTGCTTGTTCTTGGGGCATTTTCTCTTCAGTTTTGTCTTCAGCAAGTGAAATGCATGCTCAATCGGATTCAGGTCAGGTGATTGACTTGGCCATTGCATAACATTCCACTTCTTTCCCTTAAAAAACTCTTTGGTTGCTTTTGCAGTATGCTTTGGGTCATTGTCCATCTGCACTGTGAAGCGGCGTCCAATGAGTTCTGAAGCATTTGGCTGAATATGAGCAGATAATATTCCCGAAACACTTCAGAATTCATCCTGCTGCTTTTGTCAGCAGTCACATCATCAATAAATACAAGAGAACCAGTTCCATTGGCAGCCATACATGCCCACGCCATGACACTACCACCACCATACTTCACTGATGAGGTGGTATGCTTAGGATCATGAGCAGTTCCTTTCCTTCTCCATACTCTTCTCTTCCCATCACTCTGGTACAAGTTGATCTTGGTCTCATCTGTCCATAGGATGTTGTTCCAGAACTGTGAAGGCTTTTTTAGATGTCGTTTGGCAAACTCTAATCTGGCCTTCCTCTTTTTGAGGCTCACCAATGGTTTCCATCTTGTGGTGAACCCTCTGTATTCACTCTGGTGAAGTCTTCTCTTGATTGTTGACTTTGACACACGTACACCTACCTCCTGGAGAGTGTTCTTGATCTGGCCAACTGTTGTGAAGTGTGTTTTCTTCACCAGGGAAAGAATTCTTCGGTCATCCACCACAGTTGTTTTCCCTGGTCTTCCGGGTCATTTGGTGTTGCTGAGCTCACCGATGCGTTCCTTCTTTTTAAGAATGTTTCAAACAGTTAATTTGGCCACTCCTAATGTTTTTGCTATCTCTCTGATGGGTTTGTTTTGTTTTTTTCAGCCTAATGATGGCTTGCTTCACTGATAGTGACAGCTCTTTGTATCTCATCTTGAGAGTTGACAGCAACAGATTCCAAATGCAAATAGCACACTTGAAATGAACTCTGGACCTTTTATCTGCTCATTGTAATTGGGATAATGAGGGAATAACACACACCTGGCCATGGAACAGCTGAGAAGCCAATTGTCCCATTATTTTTGGTCCCTTAACAAGTGGGAGGCACATATGCAAACTGTTGTAATTCCTACACCGTTCACCTGATTTGGATGTAAATACCCTCAAATTAAAGCTGACAGTCTGCAGTTAAAGCACATCTTGTTCGTTTCATTTCAAATCCATTGTGGTGGTGTATAGAGCCAAAAATGTTAGAATTGTGTCTATGTCCTAATATTTATGGACCTGACTGTATATGATCTTACTTAATGGTTTGGTCATATACTGTATTCCAGGTGATAGCACATCCGGTGGAAGGCACTGATCATATATGTGACACTATAGAGGTGGTGTCATCTAGAAGTTCATTGTGAAGTGGAGACTAATTTTCAGGCACAAAGAAAATTTAAAGTGGACTTTTTTTGTTTATTGTGTACACAATTTTATGTGTTTTGGAGAATTGTATATACACTTTTTTAATTGTACTCGTAAGTAATAGTGAATAAGAGAAGTGAAGCGCGGCACTGTAAGAAATAAATCCTCTCACTTCCTGTTTGGCTATGGGACAGAAAATGAGGGGAAATCTCCACTATAGAACACAGATAGCAAAAAAAATCTGACAGGGGTTATAACCTTCCCTTACTCTGTCCAAAATAATAAAAAAAAGTTTTGCCTATAGTTCTAGTTTAAAATTGGTTAATGCCAACTGTATCAACTTTAGTAAGTTTTAGAAAAGTTGTAAGAATTAGTATGAAGCTTTTAATACACCCGCCAGCTTCAGTTTAAGGGTAGATTTATACGAAAATCTAAATCTGCTATTTCCCTAACGAGCAATCTGTGTTCAGATCGTTTTTGGGAGGCAAATGACAGGCATTAAGGAGGCAATGTGACACTTCCTCGCCCCACAACCAAAACGCTTCCCTGGTCACCCGTATGAGTTGCGTTCTATGGGCTTGCCACCTGCCTGTTGCTGCATGTCAGGTAGTTTTTGCCGCAGACACAAAGCCAAGCTTCTCAACCAAATCATGTGTGCTGTATATTGCAGCTTAAGGGGGGCAGCAAAAAGTGGCTCAACCACATATCTAATTGAGGCCTAATGGTGTTGAATTACACACGCTTTCGGCGCGTTTCATCTGGCTTTCGCAAGCTCCAGGCAGTGATGAAGTGTATATCCAGCCAAAACCTATTTTCTTAGTGTTGGATCGCTGGAACCCTTCTCATGTTTTTACTGCCATTTTGGATCTGTTAAACTGGTTACTGGCTATACATGGATCTTTTTTTTTTTAATTTAGTCAGCAGGTTAAACGAAAGAAACTGACCCGATTCCCTCATCCACACAATCAATGTGGAATGCAGGAATCCTCCCCATTGTGTCATTGTATTCTGAAGTTGGAAATCCCCCAGTATCAGAATACATTGGTCGATGCTGCAGCCAACTGGCTGCAAGCGCTTATTGAATGGAAATTTTCCAGCAGGACCATTTACGGGAAGTTGATCAACAGATTTTAACAATATTGACACTATGATGCAGTGCTAAATATACAGCTGGCTGTTGGATATAACCACCCTATATAATGGATAATAGTAAGTAACATATAAACCATACGATACAATTTTCTATATATGGTGTTAGATCTAATTGGATCTGATTCGGTGATACACAAGTGATAATCAGTGCAGAGTAAGAGGTTCTATAGAACCTGTATAGGTGGTATAAATTTCCTTCCCGTCTAGGGATTGATTGATTATAGCAGAAATGAACGTGATTACAACCACAGTGAATCCCTATACAGGGATAAAAACTACCGCATAGGTGATATGTGCTATGACCCGTATTAAAACAAACCACAATAACACATAAAAGTCCATATGAAACTCTCAAATTGCTGCATGGTCACTCCAGCCATGCGTTTTCATGCGTGCTCCTGTGATTGGTGAGACAGTGAAGTGATAATCCTACACAGCAGGGGCGCATTAAAACAAACCACAATAACACATAAAAGTCCATATGAAACCTTCAAACTACTGCATGGTCACTCCAGCCATGCGTTTTCATGCGTGCTCTTGTATTTGGTGAGAAAGTGAAGTGAGAATCCTACACAGCAGGGCGCATATGACTCGTATTAAAACAAACCAGAATATCACATAAAAGTCCATATGAAACTTTCAAAACTGCTGCATGGTCACTCCAGCCATGCGTTTTCATGCGTGCTCTTGTATTTGGTGAGAAAGTGAAGTGAGAATCCTACACAGCAGGGCGCATATGACTCGTATTAAAACAAACCAGAATATCACATAAAAGTCCATATGAAACTTTCAAAACTGCTGCATGGTCACTCCAGCCATGCGTGGGATAGGCTCCACAGCTGGAGATTGCGAGCAGGATCCAGGGTGATCCAAAAGGCATTGTGGCCCCTGTGGGCCGCAGCGGGGAGGTGAGCGTGCATGCCTGCTGTGTAGGATTCTCACTTCACTTTCTCACCAAGCACAGGAGCACGCATGAAAACGCATGGCTGGAGTGACCATGCAGCAATTTGAAAGTTTCATATGGACTTTTATGTGATATTGTGGTTTGTTTTAATACGGGTCATAGTACGTATCACCTATGTGGTAGTTTTTTATCCCTGTTTAGGGATTCACTGTGGTTGTAATCACGTTCATTTCTGCTATAATCAATCCCTAGATGGGAAGGAAATTTATACCACCTATACAGGTTCTATAGAAACTCTTACTCTGCACTGATTATGACTTGTGTATCACCAAATCAGATCCGATTAGATCTAACACCATATATAGAAAATTGTATTGTATGGTTTATATGTTACTTACTATTATCCATTATATAGGGTGGTTATATCCACCAGCCAGCTGTATATTTAGCGCTGCATCATAGTGTTAATATTGTCTATATCCATCTTGAGGGGATGTTTGGATGCTAGCTTCTCCTGTATAGACTTCTATAGCAGCGCAGGAGGACTCCCATTTATACTATTTGATCAACAGATTGCCTTCTCATGACCAGGAACAGCTATAGATGGATTGAAAATTTGACCGAATTTTGATCCATGTATGGCCAGATTTAGAGAGATTTCCCCTCACTTGCTGAGAATGTTTTACTAGACAGGAATTGATGGAAGTATTCAGTAGCAACATGAACAAATAAAAACACCTGATTTCTATTTACTTGCACTGCACTGTTGTAGATGTCAGGTAAAACTGTGGAGCCGTTAACATATGCTCAGGCTGGCCGCAGTGCGATTTGAAAATGTCATACACTTTAACAATTCGCATTGGAAACACACCAAAACCACTAAATGAAATTACATCGGACCGGGCTTTAAAAATGCACTGCAAACCGGCACACACACATGTGAACCCAGTCTCATACATACAGTATTTTCATATGAATGTTTGCACGAACATTTGTTCAAAAATCTACTAGTGTACGGTCAACTTAAGTGTGGTCCTGCTCATTAATAGTGCAGTGAGCAGAATGGGAATAGAAAGGACACAGAATTTTCAATAGTGGCATCACCCTCCAGTTATACAGTGGGACAGGGTTGTATAAATCACAGCTCTTATATTATTTATTTTCAGGGCCACAGAGCCATGTTATTACAGCACAAGATTCACAGTGCAGGAGGTATAGAGAAAGATCCTCAATGTCATTGCTTACATAGATGGCATGCAGAGTCACCTTCTGCAGAAGACCAGAATATCACAGGGCTGTGTCATGGTTACATAACGCCTAGATCTCAACATGAGATTTTTTTTCTTTTAGATCGATTTTTGGATGAAAATGGAAACCGTGTGTACTCCCCAAGTCAGAGTTACCTTCCCTTCGGAGCAGGGATACGTGTGTGTCTAGGGGAAGCCCTGGCTAAGATGGAGATCTTCCTGTTTTTGTCTTGGATCCTCCAGAGGTTCACACTGGAGGTTCCTGAAGGAGACCATCTGCCAGACCTGGAGGGGGGAAGTTTGGTGTTGTGATTCAGGTGAAGCCGTTTAGAGTCATTGCTAAGCTGAGAGAAGTGTGGAAGAACGTAGAAATCATTACATAATTACCATATGGTGCATATTTCATATTGTGTTTAACAAAACAGAAAATAGTACAACCCTGTAAGGATGTTGGCTTGAAGGCACTTATGTACATTATGGGTAGAGATGCCCCTAAGAATCATATCAAGTCCCCCATTTTACATTTCATGTCTAAATTTCAAAATGAAATGTTTTATTCAGATAGGAGTATTCTGTAAAATGATGTTTCCTTTATTGTTTTATAATAGACCATCTCTAAGTTACTATGACACATCCTGTACATTATATCTGTACACAGTCTGAACATTTGTTATGGCTACGTTACTCTTATTTAACTGTTTAATTTTGCATCTTGCCTGGACACAGTCATCATCTACTTGGTTTGATGGCACCAACTGAAAGGGAGCTTTGGCTTCTGGTTCTACAGAGGGAGGGTAATCATGCCAGGCAGTTTACCCAGGCAAATATGTTTTTATCCTTTCCTGTTAATGTCTGGTCATCTGTCATAGTCTCTAACCATCCATTTTAGTGTGTTATTAACAATAGTTACTTAACAACAGTTAATTATTAAAGCTGAAGTTGAATGTTGGTCCATCTTGAAGAATGGATATCTCATACCTGGCTGATCCCTGTGTAAGCTGCAAAACACTGTAGTGGTCACTGCTACTATAGTGACAGCAGCAGGCTTCCTGGTCCAGTGCCAAGTGTCTGTCCTTCTGCATATTACCCACAGGGGGTCACATGATCGGGGCACTGCCACAATTCAGAAAAAGCCTTGTACTTTTTTCAATGAATAGAAGACATTCTGTAATTGGTTGAGATGGGGAGGCAGGGTGGTGACATCACAATCTCTACCTTATCTACCTTGTCTAACCAGAGAATGCCTTGTATTAGATCAAAAAAATTACAAGACATTCTCTGAATGGGGACAATGCTGTGTGAGTGACCCCCCTGTAGGTACTATGCAGAACCATTGGACCAAGCAGACCGCTACCATCACTGTAGATGTGGTGACTACTACAGTGATTTGCACCTTACACCTGGATCAGTCAGACATGAGATATGCATACTTACATTGGTACAAGATGGAGCAGTGTAACTATTCTATAAAAATCATTCCTAAACTTCAGCTTTAAGGATGTTTGGTTTTACTTCAAAGTTCAACAGCCTTTTAAAATGCTCATTATGCCGTCTTATGACTTAAGATAGGATGTATATTATTCCTTAGTTCGGTTGCTTAAGGTCTGTAAATATTAGCACAGGTTCTTTGGTACTGATAATTCATGATGGTATTCATCTACATGATATAGTATTTACAATCTTGATAGTATACATTTTTTGCCTGTAGTTTCATTTTGGAGCAAAGCTGCCTACAAACAAAATTTGTGCCCCAAAATTTCTATTTGCTAAGTGGCCTTTCAGTTAGGATTTTGGGCTTGTTAAAAATACGCCCAGCTGAGCCCCACTGAACAAAGTACTTAAAGCAGAGCTCCACCCGAAAGGGGAAGTTCCATTTTACACATTAGTCCCCCGCTCCCCATTAAGGATTGGCACCTTTGCGGAGCAGGTACCCGAATTTGATAGGTACCCGCTCCCACTTCCGCTGCGATCGCTTAGGCGATCGGACACGGACGTTGTCCTCCCTGTAGTCCTCAGGGACACGTGACAGGTCCCAGAAGACTACGGGGCCAGTCTCAAAGCGCAGCGCTTCTCGCTCATGCGCAGTGGGCACCCAACTGTGAAGCCGCAAACTGTCATAGCCAGGTGCTCACACTGCAGATGCCAGGAAGAGAAGATGGCCAGTGAAACCAGCGGTAGTGAGGACACCGCTGGACCGAGGGACAAGTAAGTGTCTGTATTTTAAAAGTCAGCAGGTACAGTTTTTGTAGCTGCTGACTTTTATTTTCTTTTTTCCAGGTGGAACTCCGCTTTAACTTGATAATGAAGCATGTGTGTCAAATTAAAATCTCATATATAAATCTCATTCATTAATATAGGGAATCAGCAGATGGCCCTGAACTATGTCTAAATCTGGGCATAGACTAACAGATTCCTCCATCCACAGATGCAAAGGGGATGGAGGAAGCCCCCACCCCGGCAGAATTGTATTCAGACAGACCTGCTGTGTCAGGATAAACTGATCAGTGGCTGCAGCTGCTGATCGTGAAAATATTTCCAACATTCTCTTTCAACAGAAGCCTATAATCGACTTCTGTTGAACAGGGAAATCAAAATTCTGCCTGTCCATGCTGAACCTGCAAACTTTCAGCCTGTCAATGACCAACTTAAAGCTGGTCATACACTGATAGATCTTCTTTTATTCAGCTTGCAGATTGAATGAAAAAAATCTAACAGATTCCTCCATCCATGCTCTAAAAATGGGAATGGATGAATATGCAATGCTGGCCTATTGTTCTCTGACAGCCAGTCCCGACAGCTGTCAGATTACCCAAACAATGCCAGCATCTAACTGGATGCAGACGCTGTTCATCCGAAAATTTTACACCTGACTTCTTCGATTTCTCAGTTGAAGGATGTTGAGCAAGAGGATGCCAAAAGGGCCACCAACAGAGCAAATTTTGGCCACTCAGCGACCTGATTTAATCCCAGTTTTATTTATACTGTACTGTTGAAAATTAATGTCCATTATACAGCATGCTTAGTTGTTATATATTAGAACTGAGGAGTATATCTTTTGGTAATAAAGATAATTTGAATAAAACCGCTGTGTGACTTTTGTCTTTTTGTTTCCCTTTTTATGCATATTGGAGGTAGAGAAATTCTATTTTTTATTTTATTTATTTTTTATGGTACTTAGTTAGATGTTAGGTGAAAGATTGACATGGAACATGTTGCAGATAACTGTAGCTGATAGAGCATTTCATATGTTCATATACGGGACCCCCTTTCCCATGCTATTCATTCTTTCAACCCACGTCTTCCTAAAAGGAGGTAAAATATTTGATCAAAATGTAACTACTAGTTTACAAGCCAATACTTTGAGGAGACCTAAGGGTTATTGATCTGTGGGCTTTGATTGGAAAATAAGTCAAGTTGGTGAGTTTGCCAATCATTTGTACCATCAACAGAAATGTCACACGCCAAGATGCAAATACAGCATATGTACCGGTAATTTAAATAAGTGTACTTTTTTCTATAGCAAGGGGAACAATGTATATTATGTAATGGATATATACTATGAGGCCCTGCCACTGTGAAAACGGATTGTAGGACAGACACGGGGGTCACACCATTGCAAAGTGCAGGGCTCTGGACTGTTTATTGTAAGTAAGTGTATACAGCTTTCTCCTGGTTTTTAATCTTGGATGGGGGCCTGGAGCTTGAATTATTCAGTGTCTCATTTGTGGGACAAAACCTTCAATCCTGTGTTCAGGTCTTCCTGGAGAACTGCAGGGTGTGTGAGTGCACAGGTGTGTGTATATCCATTCTAAATCAAGAGGGGGCCATAGCTCAGGGCTCCTGTTGGAGAGAGGTGTGTGCCATTGTTTGGAGATAGGTTTGGGCTATAGCCAGGAGAGGTGATCCACTTGGGAGGGAAGACTTCATGTTGGAGATATTCCTTACCTGCGGGACTGGGAGAGTTGGGAAAGCTGAGCAAGTCTGCAGGACAGAGAGCTGGGGCAGCTAAAGAGTCCAGGAGACTGGAGGGAGAGAGACCGGGGTACCAGGAGAACCCCTATTGAGAGGCCAGGAATGGTCCTTTGTAGCTTGTTGCTGGAACAAAAGGTTAAGTGAGCCAGGAGAGCCAGAGAGCTGGGAGCTAGGACTATGGTCTGAGAGAGCCAGGTGGCTCGATATTTTCTGTTATCTGTTTGATGGAGGGGGGATTATGATGTAGTATTGAACAGGAAGGGGCCATCCCTAAACTGTTCTCACAAAGTTGGGAGCGTGAAATTGTCCAAAATGTCTTGTTATGCTGACGCCTTAAGAGTTCCCTTCACTGGAACTAGGGGGCCAAGACCAACCCCTGAAAAACAACCCCACACCATAATCCCCCCTCCACCAAACTTTACACTTGGCACAATGCAGTCAGGCAAGTACTGCTCTCCTGGCAACCGTCCAAACCCAGACATGTCCATCGGATTGCAGACAGAGAAGCGTGATTTGTCATTCTATAGAATACATCTCTACTGCTCTAGAGTCCAGTGGCGGCGTGCTTTACACCACTGCATCTGACACGTTGTATTGCACTTGGTGATGTAAGGCTTGGATGCAGCTGCTCAGCCATGGAAACCCATTCCATGAAGCTCTCTATGCACTGTTGTTATGAAAATCTGAAGGTCTTTAGCTATTGACTCTGCAGACAGTTGGCGACTTCTGTGCACTGTACGCTTCAGCATGCGCTGACCCTGCTCTGTCATTTTACGTGGCCTACCACTTCTTGGCTGAGTTGCTGTTGTTCCCAGTTGTTTCCACTTTGTTACAATACCACTAACAGTTGACCGTGGAATATTTAAGAGCAAGGAAATTTCATGGATGGACTTATTGCACAGATGGCAACCTATCATGGTACCACGTTTGAATTCACTGAGCTCCTGAGAGCGATCCATTCTTTCACAAATGTTTGTAGAAGTAGTCTGCATGCATAGATGTTTGATTTTATACACCTGTGGCCATGGAGGTGATTGAACCTGAATCCAATGATTTGGAGGGGTGACCCAATACTTTTGGTAATATATTGTATGTATATGTTGGTATTGGTGTGTCAAGGGCTACCCCCCCCCCCCAACTACACAATATTATAGGGACACATGCACAGTTGAGATTGTGCACTTGCTTCATCCCCCACCATCTCTTGGAGTCAGGAAAACCTTTCAGCGGGTATCAAATGAACTAGGCAGCAGAGAGAAATAACACTTGGTGCTTTGGATTGAGGTGCGTGTGTTCTATAGAAGGATATGCTTTGATCAATAGTGATTTCAGAGGTTTACAATCATGTTAAGGCCCCTTTCATGCTGTCTGCTAAGGTTCAGTCAACGGAAATTTGTTTCGGTGTGTGGCC